AAATACCAAGGCAGCACAGTGGTGTAGTGGTTAGCATTTCTGCCTTGCAGCACTATGGGGCCCTGATTCAAATCCCAGTCTGGACATTATCTGCAAGGAGTTTGCATGTTCTCTCTGTGCTTGTGTGGTTTCCTCCCACACTCCAAAGAGATGCTGGAAGGTTAAGTGGCCCTGTGTCTAAATCGGCCCTGTATGTATGCATGTGAGATAGATACGTTAGATTATAAGCTCCTTGAGGGCAGGGACTGATGTTAATGGGCACTATGTAAAATGCTGTGTGAAAATTGATGGTGCTAAAAACCTGTAAATAACAATAGAAATGAATACACATGCTGCAATTGCTGATTACTTTCTGAAAATGCTGCTTGGTTGTGATACAGATCCAATGTCTTCAATACTTTCTGAGTCGCTGAGCTAAACCAGTCATACAGAACAAGAAAGTCAAAGTGTCTAACCTGCACATTTGTTCCAGATCAGTGATTGTAAAAGTACTAAAGAAATTCGATCAGCATGACAGCCAAGGAATAGAAATTTTCGTAAAAGGAGATCAGCACTGGCAGCCTCTGTACGTCTTCCAGGTTTCCTTTAGGGTCCATTCACATTATTGTGTATGGGCCCTAAAGGTGGGCCCATACACAATAGGCCCAATGGTGTAGTGCAGTACCATTCAGGGTACATGTACCTTTTTTTGGTGCATTAGGCAGCCTATTCAAATATATGGGCAGCCTTAACACAACGCACATTTACATACATAGACAAACAAAGCGAAGTGGTGTGAATGGACCCTTAAATTTTTTACCCCTTTACTGATTGAAAAACAAAATGCTGCTGCAGCTTTGGTGCTCTCATTTCACAAAGCTGGAAGGCATGCATCTGTTCTAGGAAAGTGTTTGTGAATGGACATCTCAGCACATCCGTTACATTTGTCTTAGACTGCAGATCTTAAGAGATTTAGCCAAGCATGCATATAATCAGATCTGACATATCCTGATGTTCGGTTCCAGAGCACGGGTGGGGGGCAATAAATAAATGTGGCTGTACATGATGACACTTGCAGAAGCCGATAGCCTGGGTTTCTGTCTCACCCTTTTTAAATTGGAATGGATGTTTTATAGCAGCAAGAGTCATTCACATTGCATACATGGAGAGATAAGGAACAGAAAGGCCAAATAATACTTAGAGTAAACATTTCCATCTCTCAAGCATGTACATACTTCTTCCAGTGTTACAGACTGCCAGCAAACTAAAATTTTGTGTAAATGAGGAAAATGTCTCTCCCCACAGTAAGGTTACCATTAGTCCCTGTTTCCTGGGGACAGTCCGCGTTTTGAGAGGTCTGCCCTGGGAAACAAATGTCCCCAGCATCGTACCTGGTGGCAGTGAAGTGCAGTCATATACAGCAAGTTTTGTACATGCTGTTATGGTTGCCTCTAGAACTTTGCATCACTTACTACTGACCCTTGAATCACTTACTATTGACCCCTGAACCCTGCATTGCTTACTACTGACCCCTCAACAATGCATTACTTACTATTGACCTCTGAACCCTGCATCACTTACTACTAAACCCTGCATCACTTACTACTAACCCCTGAACCCTGCATCACTTACTACTGACACCTGAACGCTGCATTACTTACTACTGACCCCTGAATCACTTATTACTAACCCCTGAATCCTGCATCACTTCTGAATCCTGCATCACTTACTACTGAACCCTGCATCACTTATTACTGACCCCTGAATCACTTATTACTGACCCCTAAACTCTGCATTATTTACTACGGACCCCTGAACTCTGGATTACTTACCAGTGACACATGAACTACTTGCTACAGTCCCCTACTCATAATCTCTGTACTCCATGTGTTTCTTGCTCCTGACCTCTTTATTTCATGTGTTACCTAGTCCTGACCCCTGCACTCTGTATGTTACCTACTCCTGATTTCTTCTCCCTGCTCCTTGCACTCTTGACCTCTGCAGGGCCGGTGCTAGGTTTCCTGCCTACACAGGCAAGGTGGATTTTTGTGCCCCCCCGAACCCCTGTAAAAACAGGGCATTTTGACAAGTAATTATACTTGTCAAAATGCCCCGATGTTTGCGCTATGTTTTTTTTTTCACTTACCTTCGGCGCGGGAGAGCAGCGGCGAATCAGCGCTGGTCCGGTGGGAGGAGCTCCAGGTGGGGTCCTAATTTAGCTGGCCGGCGACTGCCTGAGGTGCCGCGCGTGTCGGGATCCTCCTTGTCAAAATGCCCTGTTTTTTCCGCCCTCACCCTGCAGCGCCGTAAGGCGGCCGCCTGACTTGCGGTAGCGCCGGGCCTGGACCTCTGTGTTCTGTGTTACACAGTCATGACCCCTGCACTCCATGCGTTACACACTCTCGACCCCTCAAATACATGCGTTACACACTCCTGATCCCTGCACTCTGTATGTTACACATGATTGATGCATAGTAGAGCAGGCTCAGGGTTTATTTATTCATGCGTCTTCAGTCACTCCTTCTGTTAGCGCAGTTTGGCGTTTTTTTCTATTAGTACTAAGGGGCCCAAACTGTGCCAAGAAAATATCCCCCTCACCATTACACCACCACCACCACCAGCCTGAAGCGTTGATACAAGGCAGGATGGATCCATGTTTCATGTTGTTTACGCCAAATTCTGACCCTACCATCTAAATGTTGCAGCAGAAATGAAGACTCTTCAGACCAAGCAACATTTTTCCAATCTTCTAATGACCAATTGTGGCAAGCCCCCGCAAATTGCAGTCTCCGTTTCCTGTTCTTAGCTGCCAGGAGTGGCACCCGGTGCGGTGTTCTGCTGGAGCCCATCTACTTCAAGGTCATTGTGCGTTCAGAGATGGTATTCTGCATACCTTGGTTGTAACGAGTGGTTATTTGAGTTACTGTTGCCTTTCTATCATCTCGAACCAGTCTGCCCATTCTTCTCTGACCTCTGACATCAACAAGGCATTTGCGTCCACACAACTGCAGAGAGATAGATATGCGCGAAAATCCCAGTAGATCAGCAGTTTCTGAAATACTCAGACCATCTGATGCTCGGTTGAATGTACTTCAGCAGATCATATTGACCACGTCTAGATGCCTAAATGCATTGAGCTGCTGACATGTGATTGGCTGATTAGATATTTGCGTTAAAGGGTAATTCCACTTTCCCAGGTGAATTTGGTAAAATGGAATTACCCCCTCCAATCTGGCCCCCCACCATAATTACCTTTGAGCAAACACTCCTTCCTCTTTCGCGGACTCATTGGTCACCTGACCGCGCTCACTAATGAGTCTTCACCATTTGCAAATGAAATTCAAAATACAGAGCGCTGGGCTGTGCTACACGGCAGGACGGGGTACGGATAGTACACCGGCACTAGTGGAGGGGAAGGAGCGTTTGTCCATTGGCAAGTATAGCAGGTGGGAGAGGGGGCCAGATTGGAGGGGCTAATTCTATTTTTCCAAATTCACCTGTGAAAGTGGAATTACCCTTTAACGAGTAGTTGAACCGGTGTACCTAATAAAGTGGGCAGTAAGTGTGTGTGTGTATATTTTTAAAGCTGGAGTTCTGCATCAACATTCGATTTTGGAATGAATTGAGTTTCCTGAACAAAAACATCATCCACTGTTAGAATTTTAATCGTGTTGAAAAAAAAAAACGATTGTTGATTTGACCCCATTAAATATTAGGGGCCATTCATACTAGGGATGCACCAATACTAGTTTTGGTACCGGTGCCAAGTATTTGGGCGATTACTCGTGCTCGCCCGATACTTGAGCTTCCGGTATCAGTGAGTCATTACACGCTGCCGGCTTCCTGATTGGCCAGGAAGCCGGCTCCATGCTCACTCATCACTTGTAACGAGGGAGCATGGAGCCAGCTTCCCGGCCAATCAGGAAGCCGGGAAACGTGCCATTACACCCCCCGGCTTTCTGATTGCACAAAAATCCAGGTTCATGCTCCCTCCTCACCTGGTGACGAAGTAGCATGGAGCCAGCTTCCAGGCCCATCAGGATGCTGGGCCCTGTGTAATGACGTGTTGCCCGGTTTCCTGATTGGCCAGCTTCTCGACCAATCAGGAAGCTGGGCAACGAGTCATTACATGGTGCCCGGCTTCCTGATTGGCCAGAAAGCCAACTCTATGCTTTCTCGTCACCTGGTGACGAGGGAACATGGAGATGGCTTTCCTGCTAATCAGGAATCTGGGTGGCGAGTCTTTACACGCTGACTGGCTTCCTTAATGGAACTTCAGTACCGGCAAGTACCGGAAGCAAAATATCGGTACTTGGTACCGAAAAAACGGTATAGGTGCATGCCTAATTCATATCATTGCATTAAAGATACAGCTCCTATGCTTTTATCGCACAGCGCAATGCATGCACTACTTAGATGCATGCACTACTTTTTTATCGCAAATACGCTCTATTGCTGTACTGCGTGTTGCAGCGCAAGGCGCCACTGCCGTTAGGTGTATTGGGGTGGCACACAGAATGAATGGCAATGCAACGCGCTAGCATACTCTGCATTACATTTTGCGACAATTACGGCAATTGCGTCCTTTAGCGTAATACTACCATACAAATGGGCTCTTACAAAATCAGACACGTAACGAAAGTGAATGATTTTCTCCAGCTTTAACCGCCAGCAGCGGCTAGCAATGGCAGCCTGCATGAAAGGATCCCTTTAACAGCCTCCAGTGTCTGGCAGACATGACTGGTCCAGATTGAGTGGTTGGAGGAAGGGGGGGGACCTATAGGGTGATCCCCCCGCCTGGTTGGTGAGTTCTCCGGTGACGTGGCTCGCATATACACGGCTCCTTTGTTAGCAGACAGCGGGGCTGTGTGTGTCCGGGCGGCCGCTGAATGCCTGCCCATCTGATGTTGGGGGAGGGTCAGGATCGTTCTCTCCCTCCAGATTGTAAGATGCTCCGTCCGGACATGCGGAGGTGAGAGAGAGCCGGCTACAGGAGAGGCTCAACCCGCCCGTTCCCCCCGGGCCCTCCCGATGCCTGCCCCGGACCTGCCTCCCCTAGAGCGTCCTCTACCCGTCTGGATCCCGGGACTGGTGTGCCTGCACATGGCCATGTCTACACTGCAGCAGATCTGGCAGCAGAAAGATGTCGTCATTACTTTTTGCTTGCCTCTCCTGCTCCTTCCCCTGCCTCTGGTGGCACAGACCAAGGTAAGGATGATGGGGGGATGAGGATGCTTTGTTCGCTGTCTCTGCATATTAAACTTTGACAACTACAGGAAACCATTAATTATTGATGGAGAATGTCCCATCAGTAGCCACAATCACATGGGGGGTCCTAACCAGGAAGTGTCCTGATTTTGTGGTCCCTTGAAGGCTCCCCATTGGCCGAGTCCTGGGAAGGCTCCCATTTTGCCGGCCCCGGCAAGGGTCCCGATTTGCCAGGCTCAGGCAAGGGTCACGACTTTTCCGGCCAGGCCCCCGGCAAGGGTCATGATTTTCCCGGTCTTAATTAGCCGGTCCCAGGAAACGTATCTTAGCTGGCAACCTCGGAGTTCAGTTTGTATGTAATGGGAAGCGGTGCTGTGCGGCCTATAGTAGGGTCCCAGTTCCCCTGAACTCCTTCATCCGTATAGCAATGTGTTTGGTCGTTTCCTCAACTCTTCTACAAATGGGTTTATTTAAAAAAAAAAAAAAAATTGCAACTTTACCATACTTACCTTCTTGTCTTGAATTGTATTGATTGTAATTTCTTCCTTATATTGTAAAGCGCTGCACAAACTGTTGGCGCTATATAAATCCTGTATAATAATAATAATAACTACACTAAACTTAAATACGTTTAAAAATATATTATTTTTTTTATTTTGGAACATTCGTTTGACTTTCTTATTGTTGACGGGGTTAAATCAATCATCAATTTGGACCACAGTGATGAAAAATTTGAATGAGCATGTTTGAAACTTTTTTCTTGATTGAATGAAATTGTGTGTGTTTTACGTTTGAAAAAAACTCAGTTCTTTCCAAAATCAAACAAAATTTTTAACGACCATTGCTAAGCCTCTGAGGACGTTATCGATCGCTCCCAACATATAATAGTACACTTCACTTTTAAGAGAGCTGTATGTAGGCAGCCATTGCTGACCTTCACCTGGAAATGTTGGGTGCCTGGCTGTCATAGTAATTCATTCACCTGGATCATCTATGCAGATCAGGTGCCCCAACTTCTCCGACATACTGCATTGTTTCAGGTCTGTACTGAAGCTACAAAGTTCCAGCCACACAACTAGTATTCTACAATAGTAAATCATCATCCCTGAAATTTCTCTGACTGGTTTACTTTCTATCATTGTGCTATTTCAAATATTTATTATTATGCGCTGTAATCACACAGACGACTCCTGCGTGTAAACCTTGGGGATCTTTTGTTTTTGTTATTTTCTTAAAGTATTTCCTCGAATTGTAAAAAGTTCTGGTTGTGTTTTTATTATAACCAGATTTTTAGATGGCAACACAAAGTAGCAATTTTAGGTCTGGTTCACATCATTTTCCGGACCACATCTTGAGTTTGTGTCGCATTTTTACTGCAATTTTTCACTTAAAATGGGCTTTCAGGTGCATTTCAGTGTTTGTGTTTTTGATGCGTTTCCATGCTGGATGCTTTCTGTTTGGTCCGGGAACAAACTGTTCTGGTCAGGACATGATCCGAACATGATGTGAACAAGCCCTAAAATTAGGCCATTATTTACACGTAACTGTAATTTATATTTGGTGATCACTTTGTTTCCATTTAAAGCGGACCTTTACACTCAGAAATCAAATTCTACCAATGCATCCCTCTATGTATGATGATTTAATAGTAACATAGACATGTCAGGTGTAAAATGCTGTGATTGTGAAATACTTACACTTGCAGAGCATTCACCTCCTGTTTTGAAAGGGCAAAATGACTTCAGTTTGCATTGCTTTTTATTCAAAGCAATGCACACTGGGATTGCCTTGTCATCAGCAGAGCATTGCTGGGAAATCTCATCTGTAATCTCAGAAGATCTCAGGGAAAGGCATTTTCCTCCCCTGATACGATGTGCATGGTCACATGTCCTAGTCACATGTACCAGAAATCCAGGAAGTAATAGGAGAGCTAGTAATCTGCCCTTAGTAAACATGGCCACTGTCAGAAGACTGGGGAAGAAAAGAGAAGTAAGGTATGCAAAGAATACAAAGTCGGAGATTATCTAGAAGTATGTGTTTGTAGGTTGTTATTATTAAACATTTCTAAAGGTGTGTTTGTTGTTATTTTAAAGATACGGGTAAAGGTCCGCTTTAAGTATGAAGGTTACTAAATCTGTCACTTACGTTTGGGTAGAAGACCTCATCCATACATACTAAGTTGGCAAGTATACTGCTGTGCTGATACCTGTGGCTGGGATCCCAGGTGTTCCGATTGACGCTGGCCACTCAGCCTGTACAACTCAATGACCTGCTGCAAATAGCCGGAGCTGTCCATTGCTATGTGCATGTATCCGTACATCTAGAGGTTACCTGTGGTTGGCCCAGGGCTGGACAAATCCCAATACAATTTTACCAACCCTTGCAGTGGGGTTACCCCCGCACGGCAAGGGTTAAGTGCTCGTTTTTGTCTAGGTTCAACAAAAGTTATTCTTAACTGATCCTTGGAGCTGGCTTGCTCTTACACCTGCCGCCTCCTCTGCTGCAGTAGCATGTGTGTTTTTTGCTTGCGACAAAATGCTCAAAGTGAGAACAGGGGCCGTAGAAATGAATGGGATTCCTTGTCTTGAGCGTTTTGTCGCGCTTACCTTTGAGCGACAGAATGCTTAAAGTGACATTAAACCCTCAGATTTTTTAACATAAAACAATACTGTAATGTGTGCCTTACTGTAATCCATGGTAGTTTCCCTTCTCTTTGATGCTCTTCCTTTTAAATCTGAATCTCTTCTCATGCTTGGGGAGAACTTCCCTTTGCAGCTGAGTGCCACTTCCTGTAGTGCTGGCTCAGGTTGCAAACCAACACACAGACACCATGTATCCCTTTTCAGAGACAAGGCAGTCTGCTGCAAAACAGAAGTTCTCCCCAAGCATGAGAAGAGATTCAGATTTAAAAGGAAGAGCAGCAAAGAGAAGGGAAACCACCATGGATTACAGTAAGGCACACATTACAGTATTGTTTTATGTTAAAAAATCTGAGGGTTTAATGTCACTTTAAGTGTAAAATGGGACGTAAGATGGCCATACACCGAATTTTTTTTTTTTTGCATTCAACAATTGTCCATGAATGGTCCAGTTGATGGGACACCAATGATTTTAATTGCTGTACTTCTGGCCGAATATCCTCGATCGGTCAGGTGGGAAAACTTTTTTCGAATTGTGCGAAATCCATGGATTGGCGGTGTTTCCGTACTAAAAAAAAAAATCCCAACAAGAACACTGCACATGCGCAAACAAAAATCCGTTCTGTTGATCGATGAAATTCAGTGAGTTAGGGCTAGTTCATGCCAAGCGCGGAGCAGGTGAAGAGCAGTTACAGAACGGATCAAAACTGCGTCCAATGTATTCCAATGGTATTTTGGGCTCTAGTTCACATTGCAGCGTTCAGTTCCAGAGCATGTAGAAAAAACTGCAGCAAGCTCTAATTTTTCCTGCGCTGGAACGCACTGAAAACCCATTGTAGGCTTATACACTTTTTTTCTTTTCTACCAAAACGGCGCGCAACGCTGCAAAACACACTGCACTGCCTGTGCAGATACTCATGCAGATCTGGTCTGCATTTGGTGTGAACAAGCCCTTAGTATTGCTAATGAACGATTATCGAAATCTACATTGGTCTGCACATGATGAGGTATTTGAGCTAGGATCGAAAGAGGGTTCTTGGCAGCAACGAAAATTTCCGTTCGAAAATCTAGAGGTGCATGGCCAGCTTTTAGATGCGCTTTGTTTTTTACGGTAATCAAGTGCAACGTGATTTTGACTAATGGGGTGTGGTGAAAAAAATTGGACACTAGTATTTGGGCAGCTTATCAGTGCGGTGATACTCTACTCAATAATTAAAAACCTGAAATCAAAGAAGAGTAACGAGTCTTTCAAACCTCCAGCCAGTAGCATGTCATGTATCGGCTAATTATCTGCAGGCCCAGTCCGCTCTACCCCCAGGCTAGAATTCCGGGAGATGACGGCATCAAACTGCAAGTTCAGCTCAGCCGAGTTTGTAGTTCGTCAGCTGAGAGGGGAGTATACACCAGTAGAATTTTGATTTTTCTAGCAGTTACTGGGGTTAAATTGATTAGTTTCTGAGCGTTGACAAAACAAATTTGAAGGAAAAGAAACAAAATTCTAACCGTGAACATGGTTTTCATTTGAGAAACTCTGTTCATTCCAAAAATCGAATGTGAAGTTCAAATGAAATTTCGAATGGCATTTGAGAAGTCTGTTGGCGTTATTGAATGTTCTGATGAGGTTTTCTGGATGAACGTTCATACAAAAATCTGCAAGTGTATGACCAGCTGTATACTTGCCTGTCCCTGATTCAGTGCCATGTCACCCACAAAGCCCCTAAGCTTGTCCAAATCTTCTCAGCCTGTCCTGGCCATGTCTATGCAGTATTCTCCATTTCATCATGGAAAGTTTGTACTCCATGCTCTCTTCCTTCCCAATGGCAGGCAAGCAGAGGGAAAGTATTTGCTGCAGTGGGGAACATGTGTGAACCACTTGTTTTGCTTGTATTTTTGGTAAAGCAAGTTCATCTTAAAACAGCCGACCTCTACCCATATCTTCAAAATAACATCGATGTCACTTGGCTCCTCCCCCCTTCCCCAAGGGGCTCAGTCGGCTAATGAAGGGAAGGGGGGAGGAGTCCGGTGACGTCGATGTCCGTGACGTCACCAGACTTCTCCCCCTTCCCTTCGTTAGCCGACGGAGCCACTTGGGCCGTTGAGTTTGCCCAAGAAACAT